CGTGGGGGTGCGCGGAGGAAGGAGGCAGGCGAAGCCTCAGCGAAGGCTCGGGGCGGGTGCAGGAAAAAAAGCCCAGGCGTCTGGCCTGGATCGCTTGCTCTTATCGAGCAGATAGATCTCGCTGTCTCTCCCTCTCTCTAATTTGTAGACATCCAGATAATGTAGACACTTGGCTATTTCTTTTCCTTTCTGCAACCAGATTAAATGATTTGTTTTAAATGGGGAGTAAGCCACGGCCAAAAGGAAAGAAAAAAAATGAAAAAAGAACAGAAGAAAAAAAGAAGAAGAAAAGCTCTAAGATTCTTTTTCTTAAAGGGAAAAAAAATAGTCTTTAAAGTCTAGCCATCTTCCTAGGCAGTAGTGAGGGGTTTGACTTCCCCGAGTGTCACGCTCAGCTGTGCCCAGAGCGCGAGGCTGGCAGCGCCTTTAATCGCCTTTGCTTTTTTTGCAGGGAGAGCGCGTCTCCGCCAGCGCCGGGCTGCCTTTTTTTTTTTTTTTTTTTTCCTCAAATCTCTGACAGCTCGGATCTTTGCACAAACTCTCTCGCTTAAAAAAAAATCACCCAGGCACACTTTTTGCCTTCAAACCGGAAGCACGTGAGTCAGGGCCGCACGTGTGCGGGGCCAATAGCGAGCCACGACTCGCGCTGACACTCGGGGCTTGGCCCAATGGGCGCGCTCGGGACTTTGCGGATAAATAATCCGGGGGCGGCCGCATCGGGCGGAGAGGGGGTGCCGCCACTCGGGCCCGGTGCGTCCGGGCCCGCCCTCCCCAACTCGCGCCCGCGCCCCTCCCCCTTCTTGAGGCCCAGACTGAGGAGGGGGCTAAAGAGACAGGGGAGGGGTGGATTTCGGGGTGTAGGCAAATAGAAAAGCAACTCCATAAACAACTTGTTGGAGAAATGCAGGATTATGGGTGCGTGCGCGCCGGGCACGGGGTCAGGAGGCAGGGGTCTGGGTCCTTCTGCACCCCAGGCCTAAGAAAGCATTTCTCTTTCCCTTTCTCACTCCCTCCCTCCCTCCTCACCCCCCCTTTGCGTTTTGAAGGGAGAAAGCTTGTTGTTACTGGGTGTGTGAGAGTGTTTGTGTGTGTGTGTGTGTGTGTGTGTGTGTGTGTGTGTGTGTTGGGGGAGGAGTGAGATCAGGAGGTCCGTGATGTGAAATAGACCTAGAATTGGCTAATTTCAAAGGCTCAGTTTATTTTTCACAAAGAGCAAACCCGGGAGGCCTGCTGCGCTAGCTTGCACTGCCAGTTTGTAAGTCTCACGCCAGCCGGCTACTCTGCATTTCCTTTCTGGGGAATCCGCACCCATGCCCTTCCCTCCGGACCTTCGACAACACCCGGGAGCGGCCCTGGCGCCATGGAGCCAGGCCCAGAGGGCACAGAAGAGACCCAGCACCCGCTGCCTGTTCATTCCCTGGCTCCAGGAGTCAGAGTTGCCCCAGCATGGTGGAGTCGTCCAAAAGAGGGCACTGGGCCGGGCAAGTCAGACCGCGAATGCACTCGAGGCCTGGATTTCCAGTTCAGGAAAACCTCCGTGTTAGATTTCCCAGCAAAGTAAAATCAAACAAATAAAAGCACGGCGCCCCAAGTGTTTGCCCTGGCCAGCCGACTTTTCGGACAACGAGTTTCCCTCAGTTTCGGGGCAATTGAATGTCCTAGGATTGCTCCCAACTCCCTGGGCGCCTTCGACTGTAACCCTGCGAGTTCTTCTCTATCTTTGGGGGACTACGGCCGTCTCCAGCAGCCCCCACGTTCAGGTCTGCGGGAGTTCCTTTTCGTTATTTCCTTGGCAAAGCACCTCACAAGTTTTCCACACCAGGGATACTTGGGGGCGTGGTGCGCTGGACACTGGGTGGGGGGTTGCCTGTGGAGCTCTTTTGGAGGGCCTGGGTTTGACTGTCTGCTGAAGTCTGCAGTGTCCGAGAAAGGTTCCAGCAGACGAGGCCTTACGGACATGTCATCTTGGAACTCCGGTAGTCCTGCTCTTCCTGAGCGCCATTCTCAGTGATCTCTTTAGGGATAGTATCTATCTGGGACAAGTGGGTGGAGGGGGGGGGCGACCTTCCCCTAGTTTTCCAGAAAAGTCATAGAAAGATTAGGAGAAACATATAACTAAAAACAACAAGCCAAACTACGGCAATATCTGAAGTTTCTCCAAGGGGTTGCAGGAGAGCGGGAATTCCTGGCTGCATTTTGTATTGCTGGTTGCATCTTGGGGTCAGCCGAGGGTCCCCTGATTTCAGAGGCTGAGTTCCTGGCTGAACCTCCCCGGCGGGGCGGCCTAGTATCCAGAACCTCTCTTCGGAACGCTGTGTTGGGCAGACCCACCGCGGCCTCCTCAACTTTCCCAAGCCGTCCCCAACCCCACCTTGGAGTCTCCAGGGTCCCCTTCAGTCTCACACCCAAGAGCTCCCCGAAATTTCCAAGTGCCCCTACCCCTTCTTTCCGAAATGGGGGTGGGATTTTATTTATATTTAAGTTCGCAAAATTGAAATCT